TAAATTTTCGCGAGTACTTAAAGATGTTAATTTTTTCGCTTTATAAGTTGCATGTGATGGATTTTCAGCAGGGCTAAATTTCTTGTTACCTTTTCACCATGAGCTTAGTTCCAATTTCGTTGTATAAATTCTAATACTGCTATATGGTTTGCATGCAGTGAAATATTTTGATTGGAAATTTTCTTGATATCATGCTTAGTTGTATTTTCCATATTTAATGCATACTTACAACGAGGCTGGCCGTATTATATTATATGTCAGCATATTATGAAACATTCGTCTTAAAGCTATTACACACACGCGCATATAAGTGACGTATGAGCTCCTCTTCTCATATGAACTTGCTGTACATACACAGTACGTCTTGTATGAATTCGATGGATGGATTGCGTTTTTACTTATAATATGATTTGTCTGAATTAACTCGGAATGTAACACAGGACAGCAAGCTGGATGTGGGAAGTGCCAGTTTTTGAGGGGTTAAACTACAGCAGCTCTAGCTAATTAGACTTTTGGCTATTGTTTTTTTTCAAGATTTTCCCTGGCATGCTTTTTTGCGTCATTTTCGAGCCAGTGCGTGACTAAGGTCCGCTACTCTTCATAACAAAGGCCCAGAAGCCCCGAAAAAAATACAGGTTACAGTCAGCCCTCGAACAGTAGACTAAGTAGTAAGAGTCTGCCTCTGCTATCTTACAGTCCTCCACGAGGCAAGTTAACATTTTATACTTTTACGCTTGTACAACTTTAATATTGAGAATAAAAGAAAGTTTGGTTAAGCATTATTAGCTTTCTAATTTTCCTTGTTTCCAACGCGGGAATAATAGCCTGGAGATAAAAAAAATACGATTTCATCTTATATTTTACAGTAAGGAAAAAAATTAGTCGTTTCCCTACAGAATTTTCCCAGGAATACGAAAAAAGAGTTTTGTCTAAATCAATAGCTGGCTTCATTTATTTATTTTACAATTTATAAATCAATGCTAATTTTTATTTAGTTTTTTTGCTTCTATTTTTGCTTCTATTGTTCTTAGATAAATTTTTTGACAATCAATCTCTTTGTCATTAAATTTTCTATAAAATAGACACTTGCAAATCTATTATTTATTGTTTATAACATGTTAACGGCAATAAAGTGCGAAAAAAAATTTTTTATACCAAAAAACTTTCGAACAACTTAAAAAAAAAGAGCTATCATGGTAATTTTAACATAACGGTTAGGAACTATCTATATATGGTTGCATTACGGATAGCTATTTGTAGAATTGCAAAATAATTGTTAGTTTTTTCTTAGTTCAAAATCTTTTAAGCAAATTTTAAAAAGTTATTAAAAACTTGACGGCCGGTTTGTCGACATTTTGCTTCAATAAAAAACATTGCAAATTTTTTGCATCACAAGATCCGAATTTTTTTGCAACTTAAACAATTGTAAATATCTCAGTTAATTTTGCATACTTTCTTTCCCGATAAACGTTATTGCATTTGTCATAAAAAACACAATTAAAAAAATCTCACTCTGAAGCCGAGATACAAGAAATTGGCGTTTCTTGCAATAACGGACTGATAATTAAATTTTTTATTACGGAAAAATTTGTGTACCATCGTCATGTATTTCTGCATCACACTATTGAAGCATTTTATAAATTTTATTGAAAGACAATCAAGGAAAAATCAAGAAAGTCTCATTGCAACAGCTGGGGCAGATCAGCGCTTTTACCTGTAAGAAATTTGTTTTTCGCTCCAACCCCCTTGAGCGTGCTCGATATAAGAGAAATTTTTTTTTAAACAGTATTTATACAGTTTTCAGCAAATTTAACTATTTAAGACTCTATTTAATTGCAATGAGAGATTTTTTAAGAAAATATGTGCAAAAAAAGAAAAGTCTTCTTTTAAGTTCCCACTGCATAAGAAGAATAAAAATCTTTATTTACACTGTACACATTTTTTTCCTGTAATGAAGGTATACTTGATAATTATTTGTTTATTAACCATGTTCAATCTTTAATACTAAGTTTGTTATGGTATAATTAAGTATCTTATTTGAATTTAAACGCCAGCCGCAGCCCTATGCGCACTGTAACTGGTCGGCCATCTAGTCGAAAGAGCGGGGTATAGATAGGATCATCGAGCTGCCCTGGCTGTCATAATGCGACTTTCTTGATTTTTTTTAGTTTTCCTTGCAATGAAATTGATAAAGCGCTTTGGTGCTGTGATGCAGAAATACATAAATATAATACAAAAATTTTTTCGCAATAAAATATTTAATTATGAGACCGTTACTGCAAAAAGTGCCAATTTCTTGTATCTCGACTTCAGAGTAAGCTGCAGTATTTTTTTTTTTTTTTAATTTGTGTTTTTTTATGGTAAATTTAATGACGTTTGTTAAGAATAAGAGTATGCAAAATTGACTAAAATATTTGCAATTGTTTGAATTTCAAAAAAAATTTGGTGGTGGTAAATCGTCACAATTAAAAAAAATCAATTTTTTTTTTATTTGTGATTATTACTAACATTAAAAACGACGGGTATGTTTGAATTACCATGATAACGATTTTCTAACGGTTACGCTCAAATTACCATGACAGCTTTTTTTGAGGTCGATCGAAAGTTTTTCGGTATAAGAAATTTTTTTCAGTACTTTGTTGCCATTAAAATGTTACTGCCGTTAACATGTAACGTGTTATTAACAATGAATAATTGATTTGCAAAAATATTTGTTTTATAGGAAATTTGGTAACAAAGAGATTGATGGTTGAAAAGTTTCTCTAAGAGCAATAGAAGTGAAGATATAAGCAAGAAACTAAATGAAAAATTGTCATTTTTTCATAAACTGTTAAATGACTAATTAAAGCTGACTTTTCATTTAGACGAAAAATTTTCTTTGTATTCCTGGGGATATTCTGTAGGAGAACAATCGATTTTTTCTTTACTGGAAAAGATAAGATTAAAAAGTCCTTCGGGCCATGGACTATAACTTTGAGTGCATGTACCATTATTTACGACGGTAGTGGTAGACTGTAGACCTCTTGGGAGTTAATAATAAGAGAGTGTTTTGCGTAAACTTTAATGATACAACATTGCTCAAGAAGGTAGTGGTAGCCCCTAGATTGGTCGTGAATTAAAACACACCTTGTGTTATGCGTAAGCTCTAGGATTTACACCACTGCTCAAAATAGTAGCCCTAACCTCTAGATTAGTCGCGAATAAAAACATACTTTTACTCTACGTAATCTCTAGGGCATACCCTCTATTTTTTACTAGAGTGTTTATCACCACTCCAAGTAGTGTTAATAAATTCTAGGCGTGTCGCGAGTGGTTGAACATAATTCTTGAGTGGGCATCGCTGGTCAGCACTGCAGCCAATCCAAAGGATTAAAAATTTAATTCTCCGCTTAACAGTATTCATCCCCTTTCGCTTGGGTCGACGAAGGCGACCATGACTTCTCGTTCGGATATCTTGCCGCGTACTCTTGATGATTCCTTAGCCCTGTATCCCACTTCTGCTCCCTGTTTACATCCCAGATAATTAAACGAGAATTTGAGTACTTCATTGGACCCATGGTTAGCTAGGGTTGAATCGTGGTATGTGATTTATTGCAAAATATTGAAAAAAGTAGTAGTGAAACATCATTGATTGAAAAGGGAAATAAAAAAGGTTAGGTTCATGCTATATTACTTTGAATTTTTCAACGTATAGATAGAACGATTGAACCCTAATATAATCGTGCGTAGATATCTTAAACACCTACTTACATAGGTACAGAAATATGTGTATGTGTGTTTGGTTCGAAAGTAGTTGTACCACAAGTGTGGATATTTATGAAATATACATGCATATATTATAATGTGCATATCGGCGTGTACAGTTATACGTATAGATATGTTAGTATATGTTAATATGCACATTAACGATTTTCAAAAAAATAAGTGATGTTGAAATTTATCGATTTACAAAAAGTATTGATTTACATAATAATATGTATGTCGATCCCAGATAATTATTCTTCTTATTGTTATTCTCAGAAAAAAAAATTATATATTTTGTTTCTACTGACTCCTTCAAAAACCTTATTAAGCTGTTTTGATTTTTTTTTTTTTTTTTCAAGGGTAAAATTAAAATATACTGTTCTTGTAAAGTAGATCAGTCATAGTTATTTTGAAACATAACTGTGTAAAAAAACTCAATAACCCACATTGTCATCCCGAACAAGTTAACTATTTATTAATTCACTTATCGTAAGGTGCAAGTGCCTATTTGTTTACATATTTGATCAAAATAAGTTGTACATTTGTGAAGGTTTAATAACTCATTTCTTAACTGATTATCCATATTCTTTACTTTGGTTCTAAATAAAATTGTAGCAGTATTGTCAAGTGCTGTTGTACGAAACTTAAATTGATTATTTTTATTAAAACAATTCAGTTTAAAAAAATTTTGCCATTTCTGTAGAAAGTAAACTGTTGTAATTTTCTAATTAAAAACATTTTCATTGCAATGAAGTTATAATGCAAGATTGTTGGGCTTAGAGCGAAGGAACTTAACGTGTGTTTATATTTTTTACTAAAAAGCAAGAAAAACTAATCCAAAAGTTAAAGAATACTTGTATTAGTACGTTGCAATACGCGTTTAATCATTTCTAATACAAGTTTGCATTAAAATTGATTTACAGTCATTTTTAATGGGTTGAAACAAACACGCTACAGATTATACTTTTTAAGTAGGAACAAGAAATATTCTCTAATTTTAAAGTCAATAAGTTAAGATTTACTGCTAGTAAAACAGCTGAAGATTTTTCGTTAGGTATCGAAGAACGGTAAAATACAAATTTATTTTTAATTAAAGTATTAGAAATGTATATGTACCTCCTAGATAAGCTCTTTTGGGACGAATATTAGATAAAATGAGTGTTAAATATGAATAGACTCCCTAAAATATATCCTTTTAATAATACACATCGTTTACAATAAAGAGATGTTCTAACAAAATTAATTTTTTTTTGCAGTTGCAACAAAGCACAAAGAAACAAAACAGTATTATACCTTGTACAATTTTTTAGATGATTCTAAATTATATTTTTGCAAGGAGTTATCTCTTCTTGACTCTATTCAAGACAACTATAATGGGTAAGTTTTCATGTTACGTTTGTGTATTTATTATTTTTTATGTATTCTAATATAGGATATATGAAAAGAGAGTTCCCTTATGTATGATGTTATTTTCAAATACATTTTATGGAGTACGTAACGTTATGATGGTTAGGTGTTAAGCTAGAGACTTCTTTTGAAACATTTTACCAGTTATTTGAGCAAAATTTAGTAATCTTATTACCTACTATAAAAAAAAAAAAATTTCTCAAACAAATTTTTCAACTCAACAAAGTATGCTGCAGTCATTGATGTTTCATTATTGTCTTTTAGCACGACTTTTTATACAAGCCCTTAGGATATCGACAGCCTGACGCATGAACTATAGGTCAGGTATTAAAAAAAAAAGTTATGCGCATCAACATAACTGTCTAAAATAGCCATGCAGATTATTTCCTATTAAGAAATAAACTGAAGTAGAAGTGCCACAATTTTTTGTTTGACAAACTGACAAGGTCTTGCTCAAACTAACACCTGATTTTTTTGGAGTTTTCATTCGTTACTCACAAATTAGCTCTTACTGATCGTGTGCTTAGGCACTGATCCTCAAGTCATCTGACAAGGTCTTCTGTTAGGGTTGTTATTTTATAGACGTACAAGAAAAAAAATTTTTAATAAAGTCTAAAAAGACAGCAAAGCAAGGTGGGCTTTTCAACAGCTTTCTCTGTTGTACACGAGATCAACGTGTACAGTTAGATCAGAGTACCAAATTCTATTTTTTCTCTCTATACTAACATTAAAGGGTGTAGTATCACAATGTATAGTCAATGCGTGTTTTGAAATACATTATGTATTCCGAAACAGACAAGTGAAAATGAATGTGGCAACGCCGTATGAGGCGAAAACCCTCTGTATATCTATACGTACAAGTATAGATACGTTTGGAGGTTATATTGTACGTCAACATTGAGATGATGGTGAAATCTCCGTTGCAACATCTTCACGGATCTTTAAATACACACTTTTAATTTGTTATAACTAAACGGCGCGGCGGTGTAGCTACGGATACTCTTCTTGAAATTCGATGTTTAAAACATACTATTCTACATTATACTTCAATTTCAGCAAAGCCAATTTTTTTTTAATCGTAATCTGTAAAATACTCTTTTTCCGATAAGAGTACGTGTTAAATAGATAATTTATTTCTTGAAAACGGTGAAGCTAGGGGTTCTGAAATTTTTATATGTTATTTTACATGTAATGTAATGTAATTGTAATGTAATTTTTTATTTGTTACAGTTTTTTATATGTTACAGTGTACGTGTTGTAATGTAATTTTTTATATGTTATTTTACATGTAATCTAATGTAGTTGTTAGCTTATAGAAATTTTTTCAAGGCGTTCCTGAATTTTTGAATTTTGTGACACTTGTTGGGTCGCTCTTGCGAAAGGGAGTAGGATGAAGAAAGGAGAAAATGTCCTATGCTAATTGTCTACTAGTACGAACTCTGAAATAACATAATTACGAAACTCTTCATCACGTACTTTGAAAGAATAAGAGATTGAAAGTATATATACATAGTATGTTATACAGGAGAAGTCTGCGAATGAGAGTGTAAAAGAAATCAAAGAACATGGCAAGGGGACTCCCCATCCCTCTCTTACTGTTCGCGCATGCAGCAGATATAGCTATAGATTACAGAAGTATTCGCTTTAAGCGCAATTCCGAAATCGTGCCCCCACTGGGTACTTTGAGAACGATTGGTCGTGATTAAAAAAGGACAGTACCATAAATTGATTTCCACATGCTTGTAGAAAAGCGACAGTTAAGGGTTGGCTACCTGGTAAATGGACCCGGAAGCTCGATTTCATAATAATTACCTATTCTAATGACGACCAATCGTTCTCAAAGTCTCCAGTGGGGGCGCGATTTCGAAATTGCGATCAAAGCGTATGATGCCCATACATACACACGTACACGCGTAGTCAGACATATACATGCGTAGTCAGAGAAAACAAAGTGCGTGTGTCAAGCAGCTGAAAACATTTTGTCATTGCCTTCTAACCTCTGTATCTAATACAACATTAGTGTATCTAAAACGCATTTAGCGTCACTTGGTTTAGTGTGTGCTGGTTTTTTTGTTAAGTTTACTACCCGCATGAATAGCTACATAGAAGTGTACGTGTAACTTAAATTAATTAAATATCATATATGTATTACATTAGTATTGTATACATACGTGCACATACATTTTATATTATGTACGTGTACATAATTTTGTTGTGTATGTAAATATACTATTTCTTATATACTTTTATGTATTAAATATAATGTATGTGTAAATAAATCTTCAAAATTTTTACTGACTCTGAGAATCGAACCCACATCCTTCTGGTTGGTAGTCGGGGACCTTATCGCTTGTGCTACGCAGCGCGCCGATCTTTTCTCTGTTCTTAGTACTTCTGGATACCAACTAAGAAGCTTCTAAATTAAAAAATTGAACTATAATTAGGCATTTTCTGTATTATAAAAAATTCAGCCCGCTGATTTAAAATGAAATAGTTATAATTATTTTCAAGTGGTCTCATAATGTTAAGATTGTGTTTTAAAGTTTGTTTTCCTTATATCTTGTAACGGTTTAATGAACAGAAAAAATAAAAATACCAGCTTGCAGGGCGAATAACCTTCAACTTTTAAGTTAAATAAATTAAGTAACAACAGTCATACTTTAATCAATGGTTATCTTACACTTTGTTCTCATTGTTTTGTTAATTACGGAATGCTTATTGACCGTAGAAAGTCTGATAAAACTGTACAGTGCTTTTTTTACGTCAAAGTTTGTGGTGCTGATTGATGCATGTATTAGTGGTATGTGTGTAGCAGTATACTGTAGCAGTCGACACTTGACAGTAGATACGTTGTGTTTGCATGAGAATACTTTTGACAGAAATAAATTTGTTTAAACAAAAAATATATCGATATAAAGGAAAAAATGTGTCGCTTAAAGTCTTTTACCAAAGACAAAAGCAACAGGAGTCTTGCAAAAATCTCAACGAGATGATAAAAGTGAAAAAAAATGTGCACCAGAAGTTGTAACCTCAAAGGTTACGGAGGGTCGACGTATTGTTGACATTCATCATTTGGAATTTGGGATCTAGCCTTTATTGTTTATTTTGCAAACAAGTACTGTATTTATCTTGCATTGAAAGCGAAAGGATGTGGGCTTGCAAGTTTGTTTGGCATAAGGTGTCACAATTACCTGCAACTTCGTATCATTTTAACAAGTACCTGCAGCAACAGCTCGCTCGACGATAACTTTCCCAGAAAAATTTATGATGTTAATTCCCGATCCCTTTTAGGTAAACTAATAATAGTTTTTTTTTTTTTTTAAATGCTAGAAAAACTGAACTCGGATGTAACACATTACATTTTTATTTGTAAGTAAATCCTTACTACTTAAGCTATAGTTTTTTTTTTTTTTAGAGGGATGGGAGGCCTCCCATTACTCGGAGGGGGGTAGGGGGAAATTAGGCAATTATGCTGCGAGGAGGTCGCCTAAACCCTCTTCGAGGAGCATTGCGTGGTGAAAAAGCACATGTGAAAAATCACAGAGGTACTTGCCCGTAAAGTCGCACTGGCCGGGAATTGAACCACGGTCTCCCGCGTGCCAATACACAACCTAGCCGACCGAGCCACCGCGCGCTCATCTAATAATAGTTATTCATGAAAAATTGTAAACCGAATGAAGATTTAATATTCGTTCAACCTTGTATATGTGCACACTGTAATTTTTTTACTAGAAAAATTATTGAATAGAAAATGGAAATGCAATACGGTTAACGTTTTAGGTGTTATCAACGCTGGTATGGGGCTTGCAAGTCTCAATAAGTATTTGTGCTTCAATACATGCTATGTATAAATGATAAAATTTTCAGGAAGATTGAGAGAACTGTCGCACAAGCGATTGAATGTGTGGCAAGAGCAAGTTGTGTGGAGGCTGTTAAAGAAGAAAGGGCAGCAACAATTAAGAATATGGATTCGCTGTATACAATGATTTAATTAATTGCATCTTATTTCTCCTTTTATAACACATGACTATTAATGTACAAAAAATTAAGTACTTTATTGTCACATAAAAGTAGTAGCATCCTGTACCGTAAACAGTATATTTATGTATTCAAGGTATTGTTAAATTATTATTTGATCAATTTGCATATAACTGGACGAGCTATTTTTTAATTAATGAGCGTCGTTGTACACACTTTTATTTATATTGCTTTACAACTTTTTGAAGTAAGACTTTTTATGTTGGGCCATAAACAGCCGCGTGAAGAGGAATGCGTTACGAAAAAACGTAGCCACCCATCCTGCGGTCCTAACCCTATCCTTAATCGCCTCTCTCCCGCTACGTTTCTTTCTTTCGCAGAGCGCGCCACTCTACTGTCTACCGTTCCGTCTCTCTTTCTCTCGCATACGCCCGCACTGCTTGCTCCCTTCCCCTCACGCTGGTACTATACCTATATTTGTATACATATATTATAGATATGTGAGTATATATGTTTCTACGCTACGACTAAACACTAAATCGATGCGCTTGCTCAAGCTGAGGTATAGGTATGAAGAAAAGAGAAAAGAAAAGAAAAACATCAGCTGTTTGCTATTAGTTATGGAAAGGGTTTTCTTAAGAGGACTTCGAAGAGAGAGCACTAATGCTTTCCAGCGAAGGGCTCAAAAGAGAAGACCTGAAGTAAAATATCAGCGTCGGTAGCTGGTCTTGTAAATCGATGGCTCGGCGCATTCCGTCCCTTCTCCTTGGTGTAGTGTAGTAGGGACACAGTGAGGTGACGTCATGGCTCTTTTCTGTTGCTGACTGGAAACTATGCTAGTTTCTTAGCGTATGTCTGGAACGCAGTTATAAGAAAAAGAAAAAAAAACATAATACTAAAAATAAGAACATACGATGAATTCTTGGTAGAATCCTGTTAGCTTTTAACATAATTTAGCGTCTTTTGTTATTTATTAATTATTTTTATTTGTG